TATATTAATTGAATTAACATTGAATTTATAATTATACTACATATAGATGAATATTTGCATAAATTATATACAAAGGGCTTTATTTTAAAATGGCCAGATATCGATTAAAACGTGTATTTTATAAAGGTACATCATTATCAAGCACATATCAGCCCTGCCTCCCACAGTCCTCCCCCCTGCTGCTCCTGGAAGCCGCTATCGTGCAGGTCTGGGTGATACCACCGGTTAGGCCTGCAGACATTGACGATGAGGCCAAGTGGCTCCAGGACTCCATGTCCAGGATCTGTGACGTGGCGATGCCCCGAATCCGATCGAGGCAACAAAAGCGCCAGGTGTACTGGTTCGGAGTCGTGGAGAGCGTAATGGGTTACCGGGGCTCTGGCTCGAAGTGCAGGAGAAGGAACGGGGTGGTTTTTAGTCAGTAAGAGTCTGACACTCCCTCCCGCCTCACCCAGGTGGGAGCAATCATTCGATGATTTTCCCCCCTTAAAAAAAAAGCAATCCTATTATCATTCAAACTAGCTAGTGACTTGGCGCTACCCAAGAATGTAGGTAGAAGAAGTTGAGAATACCATTAGACATGTATTTCTTTATATGTACTTTCGACGATATAATAATCTGAAATATCGTGTGACGTCACAATGCGCTATATTTTGTAGCACTTTGTGACGTAACGACCTCCCACTCCTATACTTAACTCAATTTCATCTAAGTATTGTAACTTTACACGAGAAAATAAAAAAATACGTATCTAATATTTTTTCATTATGTAACTGACGGACTAATTAGATTTTTAATTTTCATTTCCTGGCAACTACTCTATTATAACAATAATTCTGGCGTGCAGGTTCCTATTTCGTGTACCCCCATTATTATAGGCGACTCACAACAAGTAAAAACATTGTATTTGTATACACCGTTATATCTATTTCGTTGTCGTCGAGTACTTTGATGTATAAAGTAAAAACAAAAAACAAAGACGTCATTTTTTTTAGTTTAAAAAATTTCGTGGATATACGCACATGAAACACTAGACGTAAATTTGAACGAAAATTGTAGGCACTATTCGCATCGCACGTGCCACCCGACGAGAAATACCTCTTCGAGAATCACACGGCGTGATGTTTTGATGATAATGTACTATGAGTTCGTATGCGCTTTCGAAGTTTGCTTTTTGCAATGGTTCACCAGTTTCTTCTTGTTTTAAACATTTTATTTGTTTGTAAAACGATTGTATTACCGAGACAGAACCATTTTACTTCGGGACGATAACGAAATAGATTTTACTATGTGTATGACTCTGTCTACACAAAGCCCTAACCTCTAATATGTCACCAACGCATTTGTAAGTCCTCTAGTGTTCCGGGTGTCCATGTGCGCTGATTGCTTACCATCAGGTGATACGTCTGCTCGTTTTCCGTATACCATACAAAGATACGGAGCCGCTGAGAACTTAACGGGTTACCGAGGCTCCGGCTCGAAGTGCAGGAGAAGGAACGGGGTAGTTTTTAGTCAGTAAGAGTCTGACTCCTCCCGCCTCACCCAGGCGGGTAAATCAATTCGATGATTTTCACATTAAAAAAACACAAAAAAGGCGTGGAGTTATTTATTACATTTAACAAAGTTAACGTGTTTTGAGTTAAAATATTATCAATTATGTAAACCGATTGATTTACGATTATGTGTTCGTTGACATTTTACTGTTATAGTTAATATTTAATGGTGATTTAAGTGTTTGTTTTATATTTTTTTGGTTTTTGGGTTCCTCGATCGAAAACAAAATGTCTTTTTTTACACTACCGAGGTTTTAAACCAGTTAAAAATCGTCCTGAAAGAAGGAAAGCTAGCTGGGGCTTACTCTTGAATCCAATTCCGATCGATCGACATTGGTATTGTGAAATTTCGTACTCTTGAGGTGTAACACTAGCGCCCATTGCATCCGTACAGCAGCTGTAGCCAAATGCCATTTAGCGCTTGTCTACATATAGAATAGAAAACCAAATTCCATGGAATTGACGTAAATTTTGACACTTGTCAGTGTCATCCCCATACATTTTGATTTCTACTCTCTCTGTAGACAAGCGCTAAAGTGGCGTTTGGCTAAAGGCTCTGGGTGGATATTGACTTGACACATTTTCGCATTTATAATAGCGATTTAAACTAATTTCAACCATCGGCCCCACAGTTACAGCGTAAAGTCCACTGAGGACAACCTAACATTCGCCAAACTTATATTTGCGTATGGTACAGTAAATGTGTCTAGAGATCAAACCACACAGTTAAGCTGGTTTTTTATGGCATAAGCCGGTAAACGAGCAGACGGATCACCTGATGGTAAGCAATCGGCGTCGCTCATGGACACCTGGGGGCTTACTCTTGAATCCAATTCCGATCGATCGACATTGGTATTGTAAAATTTCGTACTCTTGAGTTGCAACACTAGCGCCCATTACAACCGTATTGCGTGGATATTGAATAAACTAAATGGTATTGAGTTTGGCTTTATATTCCGTACTCTGAATGCTATTGTAACAGCTACGATTGTGGTTGTATAGTGTTGACATTGAATAATTATTGAGATGTTATTGGATTGAAATTGCATTGACGTTGAGATTGGTTTCAAGAGTAAGCACCCTGGAACACCAGAGGCGTTACAAGTGCGTTACCGGCCTTTTGGGGATTAGGAGTTTGAAGATCGTTGGGGATTCAGGGATTGGGGAGATTGGGGAAGGGGAGGGTAATTGGGCCTCTGGTAACCTCAGTCACACGACGAAGGCAGTCACGGCAGTCGGTTTTCTGCTCGGCCGTGGTATCACTCCGGTCGAGCCGGCCCATTCGTGCTGAAGCATGGCTCTCCCACACCGTCCCACGAGTCGAGTAGTTTTTGTTTCTACATATAATAACGATAATATAGACAAACGAAAATTGGACTGATAGCATTTTGGCATCAGTACCGATCCCTAATCACCCCGATTTTTTTTAAAGGCGAAAAATCATCCAATCGCCCGAGTGAGGCGAGAGGGAGTGTCAGACTCTTAATGACTAAAAACCACCACATTTTCAGCCAGTACCAGTCTAGTCTAGTCTACTAGTCACCTGCACTTCGAGCCGGAGCTCCGGTAACCCGTTAAGCCCTCCTCCCTAATCACCCCCTGATTGTTATTTTGTTAAGATATATTTTCAGGTACAGAATTGAATTCTCTACGAATTTATTACAAGTGTAAAGGCAGAGGATTACCTTTTCGGGGATTTTAAGGCGTAAAAAATTATTAAAAACGGGTAATGTAAAGTTATTTAGATCAGGACCTTAATGAGTGGCCGACGGATGCGTGGGTACCTAATAGAATTAATGTAATTATGTCACAATCAAGTGTTAAGGAAAATCATAAATAAATAACCCGTTTTTTGGAATCTCATCTATGATGTAATTCTTATTTTCATACGGTCGAAAGTACCTTTAAGCGTTATCTATTTTGTTAGATTGCCCTTCAAAAATATTATACTATTATCTTATACTTACTATTATATAAAGCGGAAGAGTTTGTTTTTTTGTTTGAACGCGCTAATCCCCGTAACTACAAGTCTGATTTGAATAATTCTTTTTGTGTTGGATAGCGAATTTATCGAGGATTGCTATAGGCTATAAAACATCACGCTACGACCAATAGGAGCTGAGCAGAGTGTGTAAAACCGCGCGGAAGTAACGTTACTAATAACGTTCATAATGCATTAAAGTTTGATACATTGATATAGTTATTTGTCTTTACACAATCATTATATATACAAATAAAGAGAATTGGCGATTTCAAAATTGGTTACCTAACTTCTGTCGGCGGCTTCAGCCGTACTTTCCTGAGGGATGGAGAAGTAAAAAGCCTTTGTGTTATTGAAAACACTAATCTTACCCCTGTTCCAAATTTCACACCGATCCCTGCAGCTGTTTTGACAAAAAAAAAACGAAAAAATAAAAACAAAAGCAACGTTTTTTTAATTTAGTAACACACATACACACAAAACACTAACGCAATTATAATTTAGTCCACACTAATATTATAAAGAGGAAAACTTTGTTTGTTTGGTTGTAATGAATAGGCTCAAAAACTACTGGACCTTTTTTAAAAATTCTTTCACCATTCGAAAGCTACATTATCCACGAGTAGCACAGGCTAAATTTTATTTTGGAAAAAATAGAGTTCCGTAAAATATTTGGCTTTTTCGGACACAAGGTGTAAAAAATCAACCAGAAAAGTTACTTATTATGCGTACGCTGCCTAAAATATAAAAGATAGAACCATGAAATGTTCTAATTAATTGGTGATCTTCAAAATTGGCTATCTACTTAACTTCTGTCGGCGGCTTCGGCCGTACTTTCCCGAGGGATGGAGAAGTAAAAAGCCTTTGTGTTATTGAATACAATAATCTTACCCCTGTTCCTTTTATAACGATCCCTGCAGATGTTTTGAAAAAAAAAAACAAAAAAAAACGAAAAAGTAAAAACAAAAGCAACATAACATAACATCACGCCTTTTTATCCCCGAAGGGGTAGGCAGAGGTGCACATTTCGGCACTTAATGCCACTGTACAATGTAACACCCACTTTTCACTATTTATGTTTAAGTAATAGGGGGTGAGCCTATTGCCATATACCGGGCACATTTCCAGGCTCCGTGCTACTACTGAGATTTTTGAAAAACGCAGTAATACTTTGCCCGACCCGGGAATCGAACCCGAGACCCCTTGCCCGGCAGTCGCACTTGCGACCACTCGGCCAACGAGGCAGTCAAAGCAACGTTTTTTTAAATTGAGTAACACACATACACACTAACGCAATTATAAATTAGTAATATATATATAAGCCCAGGTTTCCTCACGATGTTTTCCTTCACAGTGTTCTGTCTTCACCGGAGTGATACCACGGCCGATCAGAAAGAACGCTTGCGTTGTGTTTCGTCATGTGAGTGAGGTTACCGGAGGCCCAATTACCCCTCCCCCCTCCCCAGTATCCCCAATACCTGTATCCCCAACAATCCTCAAATTCCAAATCCCCAAAAGGCCAGTAACGCACTGTAACGCCTCTGGTGTTCCAGTGTGTCCATGGGCGACGCCGATTGCTTACTTACAGATACGTGTGCTCGTTTCCCGGCTTATCCCATAAAAAACCCCAGCGCCATCTATAAAAACAGTAGTTTTACTTAGTTATTTTTTATTCTAAAACTAGATATGAATATCGGAGAAACCATAATAACATTTTTTGTCTTACTAACGTCAGAAGCATGTGACAAGAAGTAAAAATAAACAAGTTCTAATATAATTTACTATCTTACCTCAGTGATACAAAAACAGAAATTAATATATGTACTTATATATATAACTAGGTAAAAAAATTGTGTGTTTGTTAATTTTTGAGGATTCTGTATGTACCAATATGATTTGTCGTGGGGTGACAGGGTAGAATATATTAATTGTCACCACTTTTACTCTTCCCGCGGGTATCATATACCCGACTAAGGAACTACATATTTGAGTGAGCATGCAGCAGCGCTCTCTGATAAACCTGAACCTTTTATACTGCCACGTATCAAGCAATCTAGATCATTATAGAAAATGAGATCATTATAGAAATAAATGTTAAGCAAATAAGCTAATAATAAATAATAATAATGTAATTTTTAATAAGCTAGTGACACCCCTAAAATTTGCAACGCCTGAAAAAGGCCGTTAAGCTGTGCCTGTTATTTCATAAGACCTGAGTGCTTACTTAAAATCGACACACACTTTTATTCGTCTTCAATTGTTTTACAAAATCACGGCTCCGCCACGCACATAGATAATCTATCACCATAGACTAGACTATGACCATAGAGTATACCACAGATACACAATAGTCACAAACTAGCTTTTGACAGCGACTTCGCGCATGTTCCCGTGAGTTACAAAATAGCTATAGTTAAAAAGTAGACCATAATCTACCTGTGTTCCGAATTTCAACTAAAGGTATAGCTGTTTTGAAGTTAAAGAGTAACAAACACACACACACACACATCTCCTCACAGACTTTCGCATTTATAATATTACTAGCTTTTACCCGCGGCTTCGCTCGCGTCACAAAAGGATAAAAAGCCAATGTTACATATACCAATATACACAGCGCCATCTATACCAATACTTTTGTATTCCCTCGAAAATATCAATTTTTCCGGGATAAAAAGTACCCTATTATTTAATCTGGACTTCTAACTTTACGTCTGCAAAAATTCAAAGCTATCGGTTTAGTAGTTACGGCGTAAAAGCGGAACAAACAAACAAACAAACAAACTCACTTTCCGATTTATAATATTAGTAAGCATAATAATGTAATGGAATATACGATATATAATAGGATACAGGAAAATAGGAATAGGATAGATTTTTTTTTTAAGGGGAGAAAATCATCGAATGACTGCTCCCGCCTGGGTGAGGCCGGAGGGAGTGTCAGACTCTTACTGACTAAAAACCACCCCGTTCCTTCTCCTGCACGTCGAGCCGGAGCCCCGGTTACCCGTTAGGTTCTCCGCGACTAATAGGATAGAATAGGATGGATATAGGAAGTAGGATTAGTAAGATATTATTTGGATTCTACAAATTACTGCCTCGATGGCCGAGTGGTCGCAAGTGCGACTGCCAGGCAAGGGATCTCGAGTTCGATTCCCGAGTCGGACAAAGTATTACTGGGTTTTTAAAAAATTTACAGTAGTAGCACGGAGTCTGGAATTGTGTCCGGTATATGGCAATAGGCTCACCCCCTATTACATGGACTCATAAGATAAGTCAAGTGGGTGTTACATTGTACAGTGACATAATGTACACCTCTGCCTACCCCTTCGGGGATAAAAGGCGTGATGTTATGTTATGTAGTCTACAAATTACTGAACCCTACAATGTAAAATGTAAGTCCGGATGCTAATGATGTGTCAATGGAATATTTTTTCTTTGTTTACTATATTACAGTAATATAAGGTTGAAGATTGACGTTCAAGTCGTCATGGAATATTTTCTTTGTTAGGTAATCTTTAAATTAGTATTATTAGGTAATCTATCTTCTATCTATATATATAAAATTCAAAGGTGATTGACTGACTGACTGACTGACATAGTGATCTATCAACGCACAGCCCAAACCGCTGGACAGATTGGGCTAAAATTTGGCATACAGATAGATGTTATGACGTAGGCATCCGCTAAGAAAGGATTTTGATAATTTCCACCCCCAAGGGGGTAAAAAAGGGGATGAAAGTTTGTATGAAACTTTGTCAGTTTTTCACTGATCGGGTTGAAATTTGGCATGCAGATAGATGTTATGACGTAAGCATCCGCTGTGAAAGGATTTTGGTAATTTCCACCCCCAAGGGGGTAAAATAGGGGATGAAAGTTTGTATGAGACTTTGTCAGTTTTAAACCGATCGGGTTGTAATTTGGCATGCAGATAGATGTTATGACGTAAGCATTCGATGTGAAAGGATTTTGATAATTTCCACCCACAATGGGGGTAAAATAGGGGATGAAAGTTTGTATGAGACTTTGTCAGTTTTAAACCGATCGGGTTGAAATTTGGCATGCAGATAGATGTTATGACGTAAGCATCCGCTTTGAAAGGATTTTGATAATTTCCACCCCCAAGGGGGTAAAATAGGGGATGAAAGTTTGTATGAGACATTGTCAGTTTTAAATCGATCGGGTTCAAATTTGGCATGCAGATAGATGTTATGACGTAAGCATCCGCTTTGAAAGGATTTTGATAATTTCCACCCCCAAGGGAGTAAAATAGGGGATGAAAGTTTGTATGAGGCTTTGTCAGTTTTAAATCGATCGGATTGAAATTTGACATGCAGATAGATGTTATCACATAGGCAACCGCTAAGAAAGGATTTTGATAATTTCCACCCCTAAGGGGGTAAAATAGGGGATGAACGTTTGTATGAAGCTTTGTCAGTTTTACACCGATCGGGTTGAAATTCGGCGTGCAGATGGATATTATGACGTAAACGTCCCTTTAGAAAGGTTTTTGAACGGGGGGGGGGGATTCATTCTCACCCCAAAGTGGGTAAATAGGGGGTGAAAGTTTGTATGATACTTTGCCAGTTTTAAATTGATCGGCTGAGACTTTGCATGCATAAAGTTACTATGACATAGGTATCTCTTTAGAAAGGATTTTGATAAATTCCACCCCTAAGGGGATAAAATAGGGAATGAGAGTTTGTATAAATCTTCTTAGCCGTTGAATTTAGAATCATTGAATCTTTTTGAATTACATTCGGTAAAACGATGATTTAGGACCTGGGTAACGTATGATAGTTTTTTCACAGATGTCTCACGAGAACGGGAACTATGCATCAATGCCCCAGGACTCTCTTACTCTTAACCACTGAACTTATTCTAGAGAGATTCGGTACAACAATAGTCGATAGAATAGTTTTTATTACTCAAACCTTACGTGATCGGGCACTGTACTGGTAAGATCCCTGCGGGATTATTTATTTATTGAAACTACGATAAATCATTTCAAAATAGGTAAATCTTACTTGGGCACTGAATTGATTCTGGTTAATTCTGTCAGAAGTCATTAATCTACGCGGACGAAGTCGCGGGCAACAGCTAGTACATACATACATACATCAACAGCCTATAAATGCCCACTGCTGAGCAAAGCCTCTTCTCACACGGAGAAGGTTAGAGCATTAATCACCACGCTAGCTCAATGCGGGTTGGCGATTTCAAACTTATAATAAGATATTATAAGCCGACGTTTCCTCGCGAAGTTTTTCCTTTACAGTTTGTCAGTGGTGTCTAAATAATCTTAGAAAATACATATAACTCGGAAAATGTCACATTGGTACTTGCCGTTGGTAGGTTTCGAACCCGCACCCTCATGCATGAGAAGCAGGCGTCTTATCCACCGAGCCACCACGACGATGTTAGGTAATACTTAATAGTAAGTAATTATAAGTACTTGGGTACGTACTAATGAGTTTAACTGTGGGAGAGCCATGCCTCGGCACTGCTGGGCCGGCTCGACGGGAGTGATACCACGGCCGAGCAGAAAACCGACGTGTAACAACGCTAGCGTTGTGTTTCGTCGTGTGAGTGAGATTACCGAAAGCCCAAATGCCCCCTCCCCAATCACACTGAATCCCTAAAAGGCCGGTAACGCACTTGTAACACCTTCGGTGGTCCGGGTGTCTTGTGTGCTTATCCCATAAAAAAATGAACATCTTGACGACTGCAAAGTTGGCGCGGTGGCTGGGCTGCCGTGCAACGTGTAGCGGGTTCGATTTCCGGATGAAGCATCTCCCTGTGTGATCCACAAATTGTTGTTCCGTGTATGTGAACTTGTATGTTTGTAAACGTACACAGGATACAGGAGAAAATCCTAGTGTGAGGCAACATTTTGATTTAAAACAAATAAAGCGAAGTATTTATTTTTTATTTTGTACATATTTATAATGTTACTAGCGGATCCGACGGACGTTGTCCTGCATATCCACCTGAATGTATAAACAAAAATTCATTCAAATTAGTTCAGCTATTTAGGATGAATAACCTAAAAATCGACTGCAGCGCCATCTGCCGGGCTGATTTGTGAATCTAAACCATTCCCAGATCCCCTTGAATACACACCAAAAAATTTCGTGTTTATTGAATTTTATGATTGTGAGATTTGTTACTTAATATACTGGTACATTGCCTATTTATAAAGGTTTAAAATCACCTGCTACTTTCATCTCTGCACTGCTTAAAGGTTGACTGGAAGACAATGCCCAAGGCATTAAGTCCACCTGTACACACTTGTTGTATGAAGTTGAAAATAAAATAAATATTTGCGAAGTAGTGTGGTTGTGGCTCAGAGGTTTAGGCTCGGCTTCTAATGCATGAGAGCGCTGGGTCGATGCCTACCAACGGCAAGTACACAATGTGACCTTTTCCAAGTTACATGTACTTTCTAAGATTATTTAGACACCACTGACAAACGGTGAAGGAAAACATCGTGGGGAAACCTGGGCTTATAATTTCTAATT